GGCGTCTGCAAAGGATGCTCTCCAGCCTGCTGTGGCCTGCAGGCTGTGCAGTGTGCTCCAGGTGTCCAGCTCTGTGAGCTGTCACCCACGCTGGGGTGGCCTTGGGGATGCAGCTGCCTCTCCTCACCCACAGGCCTGTCAGTGACCCCAGGAAAGCTCAAGGTTCACCAAGTGGGACTTGGGAGGTATCTGCACTTGGTCTGCTGTGGGCTCCCTACCTGGTGAATGGACCTGTGTGTTGCATCTCCCCAAGAAGTCTTTCTTGTTACACAACATTGGCAGCTGAAGAGGTTCTGCCACACCAGAACCAAAGATGAGTTGAGGAGGAGTGAGCACATGGTCCAGGGTGTGGGTGGCAAGGCATTCTGCTGAGGTCAGTCTGCCTGAGAGGCAGACAGGGCAGAGGAGACTCCGGTAGAGCCATCCTTCCCTGGGTTCTGTATGTTGGTATGCTGTGGTAGCGGCTGCATGGTTTTTCCTATGGGTAGTGAGATGTGGACCTGAGGCTGAGCCACCATGATCAGGAGTGTCCACAGGAGGAATCCAGCATGACAGTCTTCCTCCATGTGGTACAAGATGGTGTGCCTACTTGATGAGTGGGGTCCTCCACAGGAATACGGAGATGCCCTGAAGACACTTCAAGGTTTAGAGGCCATTTAAAGGTTAGCACAGGAGGGTCATGCTTGGCAGTGGCAGCCAGGTTGCCATTGTGAGTGCTAGAAATGCACCTGGGGCCGAAATGGAACCAAGTGGGAAGCCGTTTGTGTAAAGGACTGGTTGCAACAAGGAAGGGAGATGCAGCAACATTCTTCATTAGCCCCAGACCTGGCCTGTGCGTTAGATGAAGGAGAGGATGAGATGGAGGCGATGATGGCTCACGGCTTCTTACGGCTTGGCAGCCAGAAGGGAAAGAGCACAAGTCAGACCCGTGCTCAAAAGCCCTTCCTGGGATCCTTGGAAGCTGTGCGGAGATGCAGAATGAGGAGGAGAACATGGAAAAAGCACCAGAAGATACCCTTTAACAGAAACAGGGGAAGCCTGTGATCCAGTGTGCAGATGGGGCATCAACCACAGTCCAGAAGCCATGGTGACCAGGGAAAGTTCAGCATCTGCACTGGAAGAGTCTGTGGCAGCCTGACCACAGGTCACATGAGAGGATGGACGCTCTGACTGTGGTGGGGATAGGGAAACTGAGACATGACTTTCCCTCACCCCTTAAGGCAAAGGCTGCCTTAACTTGAGCCAATGTGAGGGAATTTTTCCCTGATGGACTAGCTTTTCAGAGTCCTTAGAAACACCTGATAATCTCTAACTGGAGTCCCCACAAATATCAGGGGAGCATAGAGCAAGGCAGACGCTCTTGGGGGAACCAGGGAGAAGAGGAGCTGTGTTTGAACTGTGTTCACATTGGAGTTAAAGAAAGGACTGGTCCCTTGGGGACCTCGGAGCCCGTTAGCAGCCTTAGTGGCTTTGCTGAGTCATTTGGTGGGAGCAATGTCTTTCCAAAGCAAGAAGGACTTTTACAGCGCTCAGTGACTTAGACTAGCAGGTAAAGAGCATCTGTTGATTGAGAGAGCAATCTAGAAGAGATGAGAAAATGGCAATGCCAACGGTTTGTCCTGTGTCTGCTGAAGTTCCTACTGAAGAACTGAGAGACAAAGTCACACTGTGTGCTGAAGAGCCTCTGGAAGACTTTTGTGGAAGACATTCTGATAGGACCACACGGGTTAACACGATTAAGCTATGTCCACTGTGCCAACCTGGGAGACAGAATGTGCCTTGGGGGACCAGCAGAGCCTCAGTCCCCTTGGCCCTGGGCAGATGTGAGTGGATTCAGTCAGGCTCTCTCAGTTCATCAGACAGAGAAATGCAGGGAGGCTCCAGGACACAAAGGCTCAGAGAACAGCCGAGGTCCGTGCCATATTAGTTTCTGTTCCACTTTAGAATCTCCTTAGATGTGAGCTTCCGGGGTCACCTGACACTGCTGATAAGATGATGGGAATTCGATGGCACCTCACTGAGTTTCTGCTGTGATGCCACTGTTGACTAAGTAATTTTGTGGTGTCCTGCCCATCCTCTCGGCACAGTTATCATAGGAGACATAACAGCAACCCGAATGTCTTGTGGATTTGGAAAACCATCGCAGAGACACCCAGGTGCAATGGTGCCTCCGCCTGTCTCACAGTCCTGCCAGGGCTTGGTTAACTGGAAGGAAAAATGCTCTTTAAGAGAATAGCTAAGAATTTAAATCCAGAAGGCACCCTATGTGGGTGGAATGAGACGCTCCCGGAAGTAAGGTTACTGAATGGAGACCCTTGTTGTGGAATAATCTTTTTATACGCTATCAAGATTTGCCACTCATAGCCGGGCGGTGGTGGCACACGCCTTTAATCCCAGCACTCGGGAGGCAGAGGCAGGCGGATCTTTGTGAGTTCGAGGCCAGCTTGGTCTACAAGAGCTAGCTCCAGGACAGGCACCAAAGCTACAGAGAAACCCTGTCTCGAAAAACCAAAAAAAAAAAAAAAGATTTGCCACTCATATTGGTTTAATAAAAAGCTGAACAGCCAATAGCTAGACAGGCTTTTCTGGGCAGGGGACACTGGGAAGAGGAAGGGCAGAGATGCAGGCAGTCAACAGCCAGGAGGAGAGGAAGCAGCAAGGGCAGTACAGACAGTAAATGTAATAAAGTCAGGAGACAGAGCAGGCTGGTAAAAATGAGTTCAGTTATAAGAGCTAGTTAGTAAGAAGCCTGGTTATTGAACAAGTTTTTATAATTAATGAGAAGTCCCTGTGTGTTTATTTGGGAGCTGACAGGTGGAACAAGAAGATCTGCCTGCAAACCCTGGTGTTGGGGGCTCCCTCCCTGTGATCTGTAGGCCTGGGAAGACCCTGAGGTCCCACAAACATCAAGGCTGTGGCTGCTGCTCTTGCTTCTACGCCAGGACTAGATAGTGAGACCCTATAGCCGAAGACACCGAATGCACACACTGTGCCTACCAGACGGGACTGACCAGGAAATCTCCACCCTACCGGCTGGCTTCCACACCTGGAGGGGGCCACTTGAGTTCCTAGTGGAGAACTGTCATCCCAGTTGCTACTCGGCTATGGACCATCCAGGCTGAGACACCACACTCCAGGCAGGAGTGTGCAATAGTGGCTCAGCTGTCGTGGGCAAGACTAACAGCCTTTAGAGTGGGCTTTAGGGCTGCTCCACAAAACGAGCTCCCATCTGGTCCCGTACACCAGGACAGCATCTGCGGCTGGGGAGGTCTTAGGACCCAACATGAAAGCATCTATGGTTTTTCTACATAGATGTGATGTGCCTGTCAAAACATCCTCAGTATTAGTTTTCTCTGATACTGAAGCATCCTATCCTGCAGGAAGCTCCTTAAGCAGGAAAGTAAACAAACAAACAAAAAACCTTTAGGAAGTTCCTGAAACAGACCAGATTCACTAGGTCTCTCTCCCTGTCAGAGTAAACAGTGTCTCGACACCCTGACCATAGATTACCATGGTCAACCTCAAATCATAACCCACTGGTGATGTTCCTCAACATGTGACCACTACTGTGCCATGACGTGATTCATGGCCATAGGTGGACGTCTACAGTAACCCCTTCCATGGCTCAGGGACCACTGCAGAAGATGGGGTGCAAAGGACGTATGAGTGGAGAAAGGGGGTAGCACGTTGTCTGTTTCCTCCAATGTTGAAGCACTCCAACCTTCAGGGAGGCTCTTTAAATAGGAAGGTGAACAAAACAACTTCAGAAAATCCCTGAAACTGACCAGTTTTGTGTGTGTGTGTCCCACTCCCAGAGTGAGCAATAAAGGCTGAAGGTCTGTTCCCTTGGGAAGCCGAGCTGCCTAGAGGAGGCTCAGACCAGCTGAGGTCCCTGGAAAGGATGCTCTCCAGCCTGCTGTGGCCTGCAGGCTGTGCAGTGTGCTCCAAGTGCCCAGCTCTGTGAGCTGTCACCCATGCTGGGGTGGCCTTGGTGACAACCGTGTCCCCTCACCCGTATGCCTGTCAATAACCCCAGTAAAACTCATGGTTCACCAAGAACATTGATGGTGTCCGTATCTTGTGGGCTCCTTCCCTGAGGCAGGTGAACCTGTGTGTTGAGTCACCCCAAGGAAAGTCTTTGTTATCACCCACCTATCTCCCACCTTGAGACCCACACCCCCTTTTCTGGGAACCCAAAACTACCAGCACCTCCAGGCCTGCCAGGGGTCAAAGTGATACCAAGGTAAGACACCAGCACCCCAGTCCCTGGTGCTCCTGGCTTTCCACATACAGCCAAGGTTCCAAGGGTCCTTGGGGACCCAATCGTGCCAGGCAGGCGCCAGCTTGGGCTGGATGGGGCTGGCACCAGCCCCAGACCTGTCCCTGCCGGGAGGTGGGCAACGAGCTATTTTTAAGCTTGTGGAACGAGATATGGCTCTGGCTCTCTCTAGACAACAGAGCAGCCCCCAGAGATCCAGTCACTCTATGACCCAGGTTAGCCTCCAACTCACCATCCTCCTGCTTCAGCCATCTCCAGAGCTGGGAGAACTAGCTTCGTCTACCACATTGGTCATCTTCCTATTCTCTCCTTATTCCCTACCCACCCTTTTCCTCTCTCTTGACACTGCGTGTCTGTGCACAAGTAAGCCGCTCCCACGGTGTGGGAGGGAGCATCTGAGCTGGAGTCACAGGTCGAGCCACCACCTGGGTGCTGGGAAATGAACCTGTTCTGACCACTGAGCCACCCTCCAGCCCCCATCCGTGCCTTTGTGTGTGTGTGGTATAGCCAGGCGTGGGTACTGAACTCCGCCCTGGGCCTCTCCTGTCTGTCCATCTGCACAGATGGCTCCTCCCGTGGGCTCCTCCAGCAACGCCATCTCCCACGACTGGGTTTTCTTTCATCGTATCTATTTTCCCCGTCTCTCCCAGGCCATCGGGAACCGCGATTTCCCGCATGCGGTACTCCACTTCGCGCAGAGTGAAATGAGCAGCGACCAGAGTAGGTTCCCACATTTTATGTGAATTCAGTTCTCGCGAGGGTCGGCGTGGCCCCCAGGGCTGGGGCGTGAGGTAGCGTCACACGCACGCGCACTCCCGCGCCGACAGCTCTTGCAGCGTGTGGTAGCGGCTGTGCACGTCCAGGAAGGAGACCTCGTCCTCGTAGGCCGTCGGGCGGCAGCACGGGTGAGCGCGCACCCGCTCCTTGCGCACGCGCCTCCGCTGGCGCAGGCGCCTCAGCCCCAAGTCGTAAATGCGCAGGGCCGCCTCGCACGCGCCTGCGCAGTAGCGGAACAGCACCGTCTCGTCCGACGTGTACCCCAGGCCCAACTCGCTCACGCGCACCTCGAGCTCGCGCAGCCCGCAGGGGCGCGTGCCCGAC